TGTGCGACTGTAACACGCTTCCATAGGAGCCCTCACGCTCAGTGCGAGGCTCGGTGGCATCACGGTGGGGGCTGCCCGGGGCTCGGAGCTGGCCCCGTGTCACTGGGTGGGGGACACCCCTGGGGTGTCGCAGGCTGCCCGTGACCTTGGCGGGGTGTGACCGTGCCAGGAGCGCTGCTGGCAAAGCGGGCGCCTGCTCTGGAGGAGGAGGGTCCAAGAAACGATCCCTCAGTGTTTTAATGTTGCTGATTGGTACCTGTGAAGGAAATAGGTTTCCTGCCCAAAAAATGGGACGCCAAGACCAAACAGGCAGAGAAAAACGTGGGAAATCACCAACCGCTTTCTGTATAATTTCTTTTCATTTACACTTTGCTGCCGGTGTTCCCTGCTTGCCCGCGCTGAGACGCTGACTGTGGGCTGGGCTCAGCCTCGCCCAGAGATAAGAAGGTGCCGAGAAGCTCCCCGGGTTATTGCTCCGAAGCAGCAACGCTTCTTCCAGAGCTGAAACCAAACCCGCGGCGCAGCCAAGGCCCGGCCGGCCCTGGGGATGGAGCTGCCCGCAGTGGTGGGGAGCAGAGGGCTTCTGCCCGCACAGGGGCCCATTTTGGGGTGTTTTGGGTCTGTCGCAGCTGATTTCCGTGGTTTTTTGTGCTCTGCTCTTAGCAAACCGCCTGTGTGCACATCGCTGCTGCGCCATGCCGGCTGCTTCCCACGGCTGGCGCTTGTGCGGAGGAATTAGGGATTCACAAAACGATGGCAGCACTTTGCAGACAACGAGCTTTTGATTATTTTTTTTTCTCAAAAGCACTTGGGAAGTCCAGTGCCAGAAGCCGCGGCCTCGGCGCAGCTCCCCGGCCGGGAGGCAGCCGCGCCGCCGGCGCAGACCCGCTCGCGAGAGGAACCTGTGCTGTCTCCTCCAGGTTTGACCTGCAGCTGGCCCAGGCGCTGGGGGAATCCGCCTTTGAGAAGAGCCTCCGCGAGAAGGTGTCACAGGAGAACACCAGCATCCGATGGGAGATGGGCAAACTTCAGCGGAGCTTAGAAGTAAGAGGAAGACATCCCCCTTGCCTGCTTTGTGTCCGGTTTCGGGAGCAGCTCTCAGCGCCATTATCCTTGCAGTTGCCGCAGAGGCACTCAGGCACAAACCCAGCAACTCGTTTCTTTTAGCTCAGTCCTGGGATGTGCCTGATGTATTTAAATAACATTATCCTCTGCCAGAAGAAAGCCTGTCACTTGTCACAAGCGATACCCATCCCGTACTTTCTCTAAGTAGGCCCCACCCTCATTTTCACTGAAGTCCCTCGCGGTGGGGACGGGCTGGGCTGCTCATGGTGGAGCGGGGGCTGACCGCTGCCTGCTGCTGCTCCGGGGTGTTTCTGATGATGCTGTTGGGAACAGTCTGGGTTTTAAGAGTGAAGTGCTTGTGCAAAGCCCCCCCCCCTCCCCATCCTGCGTCTGGGGCTCATCCGCTGACCCCTCGCTCTGCCCCCGCCGAGCAGCAGAAGGAGGCGGAGGCGGCCAGCCTGGCGCAGCGGGGGACGGTGCTGTCCAAGCGGGTGCAGGAGCTCAGCACCCCCAGCGCCCTGGACCCCCGCACCGTGCCCGCGCTCAAGAAGCAGCTCTGGGACCTGGAGGCCAGCGCTGCCGAGCAGCGGAAAGAGCTGGAGCGGCAAACGGCCGCCGTGGATCACCTGGAGCAGGTAGGGTGGTCCTCACCGGGCTGGGCTGGGCGCGCCGGGGATGTTCATCCCCCCCACGGGCGTGTCAAGCCCACACCAGCACTGTCCCCGTCCCTTCGGGGTCTGTGTGGGGCTGTTGGTGCATTTGTCTTTCGATCTTTCAGCTCCACCAGAGGCTGGAGCTGGAGATAGAGCGGATGAAGCAGATCCACCAGAAGGAGCTGGAGGACAAGGACGAGGAGCTGGAGGACGTGCGGCAGTCCTGCCAGAGGAGGGTAGGTCGGCCCCAGGAGGGGTACACATGATGCTGGGTGCTCCCCAGGGCTCCCCTTGTTCGCAGCGGATCCGTTCGCAGGGATCCTTCCTCCCCGGGGAGCGTCAGGGCAGGTGGGTGCTGCTTTCCCACTGCCAGCCCATACAAGTCGCGGTCACAGCCCCAGGGTGCAAAAATCCGGGTCCGGGTGAGGTGCGAGTCCCTGCTGTGCTGGAGGGGCTGTCGGGGACGGTGCCAGAGCCACGTGTGATGCAGCCCACGGGCACGGCGCTCCCGGTAACACCAGCGTCACGCCAAGGGCACCAACTCCAGCCAGCCGGGGCTTTGTGCTTAGTGATAATGAACAGAAGAGACTATTTCAGCAGGGCCACAAGGTCTCTGGCATGCGGACATGAATTCCAATTTCTTCAAACCCCCCGGGCGTTTGATGCGGGGCGGCACGGTAGCAGCCAGTTCCCATTAGGCCGGGCCATGCCTGGCTGTCGATAGTGAATTAACATTGCTGAGGCTTAATGAAGTGGCCGGTGGAGCTTTGCATGTGCTGTTTTAGGAAGGCAGGGCAAGTGGGAAGGCAAACGAAGCAATCTCCGCTCCTCCTGCTCCTGGCAGCGCACAGCCGGGCCCTAAGCCATAAGGCTCTGCGTGCCACGGGGGGCTGCCACCGTGCAGACGCTGGTGGCTAACGGGGTGTCGTTCATCCTTTCCCTCCCTCACCCTGCGTGGCCTGAGCATTATTTTTCAAATGAGTAAATGGCAGAGACACTCTGGAGAACAATCAATATTTAGCAGCTTGCTCCCATTCTCTGTTTCAATCCCATTTCTGAGAAGTGGCTGGGGATGGAGGAGGTGGCTGGGGGTGCAGGAGGAGGCTGGGGGTGCAGGAGGTGGCTGGGGGTGCAGGAGGAGGCTGGGGGTGCAGGAGGTGGCTGGGGGTGCAGGAGGAGGCTGGGGGTGCAGGAGGTGGCTGGGGGTGCAGGAGGAGGCTGGGGGTGCAGGAGGTGGCTGGGGGTGCAGGAGGAGGCTGGGGGTGCAGGAGGTGGCTGGGGGTGCAGGAGGAGGCTGGGGGTGCAGGAGGTGGCTGGGGGTGCAGGAGGAGGCTGGGGGTGCAGGAGGTGGCTGGGGGTGCAGGAGGAGGCTGGGGGTGCAGGAGGTGGCTGGGGGTGCAGGAGGAGGCTGGGGGTGCAGGAGGTGGCTGGGGGTGCAGGAGGAGGCTGGGGGTGCAGGAGGTGGCTGGGGGTGCAGGAGGAGGCTGGGGGTGCAGGAGGTGGCTGGGGGTGCAGGAGGAGGCTGGGGGTGCAGGAGGAGGTTGGGGATGCAGGAGGCAGCTGGGGGTGCAGGAGGCGGCTGGGGCAGGGGGGGCAGCCTGGCACATCCACTCCTGCGGGCGCAGCCGTGCAGCAGCTTGCAAGGGGAGGAGCGGGCTGTGCCAGGGGCTGGCTTGCTCTGTTAACACATTTCCACCACCCCCTGCCCCAGGCCGGACTTGCTGGACCCCTCGGAGCTGCCTGACAGAGCTCTGCGATGCCCCCCCCCGGGTCTGGTCCCCTCCTGCAGAGCCCCCACCGGTGCTGCAGGACGGCGATGCCTGAGCAGAGGGGAAGGCTGAGGGATGCAGGGCCCTGCGCTCAGCGCTGGCTCTCGGGCTCCCTTTGCTCCCAGGAGCGGTACAACCCTGCCTTTACGGCACGCTCTGCCTGGCCAGGTCACGGTCACCTCCTTGCTGGTGGGGAGCTGGAGCAAGAGGCGTGCTGCTTGCCTGGCTGGCGATCACAGGATGCTTTGAGAAAGCCAAATCCCTCTTTTAGCTCAGCAGAAAGCCCCGTGTTCCGCTCCAGAGCCGCAGGGACAGCCCTTGGGGACCTCTGAGCGTGCCTCACAGGCCGGGTGGCTCAAACAGCCCCTCGTGTCCCCAGAAGTCCTGCAGGCCCCTGGACAGCCTCGC